TTTTTGTTCATACAGCTGCCGCTCACTGGATATTTTCTCTTTTTCAGACCATTCTTTGTAAACCGTAGAGATGGTTGAAAATCCCAGTAGATCAGCAGTTTTTGAAATACTCAGACCAGCTTGTCTGGCACCAACAACCATTCCATATTCAAAGTCACTTAAATACCCTTTCTTCCCCATTCTCGATTTGTACTTAAGCAAGTCATCTTCACCATGTCTATATAGTTACATAGTCTGGCTGAAAAAAGTCAAAAGTGCATCCAGTTCAACCATAGAAAAAAAAAAAAATTCTAATCCTATACCAACAGTTAATCCAGAGGAAGGCAAAAAAAACCAAGCAACGCACGATCCAATTTGCACCTGCTGGGAAAAAAAATTCCTCCCTGATCCCCCAAGAGGCAATCGGATATTCCCTGGATCAACTTACCTATAAATGTTAGTATCCAGTTATATTCTGCGTATCTAAGAATCCAGGCCTTTTTTGAAGCAATCCACTGAGCTGGCCAGAACCAACTCTTGAGGGCATCTATTCCACATTTTCGCAACTCTCACTATGAAGAAACCTGTGTTTGGAGATTACATTTCTTTTCCTCCAGACGTAAAGAGTGCCCCCTTGTCCTCTGTGATGACCTCAGGGTGAATAGCTCTACACCGAGTTCACTATATGAACCACTGATGTATTTATACATGTTGATTATATCCCCCCTTAATCTCCTTCTCAAGAGAATGAATTCAGTTCCTCTAATCTTTCCTCATAGCTGAGCTCCTCCATGCCTCGTATCAGTTTAGTTGTCCTTCTCTGTACTTTCTCAAGTTCCCCAATGTTGTTTTTGTGAATTAGTGCCCAAAACTGAACTGCATATTCCAGATGAGGTCTTACTAATGATTTGTACAGGGGTAATATGATATCTCTCTCTGGAGTCTATACCTCTTTTAATACAAGAGAGGATTTTGCTCGCTTTAGAAACTGCAGCTTGGCATTGCATGCCATTATTAAGCTTGTGATCTACCGGTTCCTTGTGATCCCCCAGTTGTACCCCCCTAATATGTATGATGCATGCATATTCTTAACCCCCAAGTGCATAACCTTACATTTATCAACATTAAACCTCATTTGCCACATAGTTGCCCAATTAAACAGTGCATTGAGGTCGGCTTGTAAGTTGAAGACATCCTGTAAGGACGTTACTCCACTGCACAGCTTGGTGTCATCTGCAAAGACTGAAATGGGATTTCAAATCTCAGACCCTATATCGTTTATACATATATTAAAAGGTAAGGGTCCCAACATTGAACCTTGGGTACACCACTGATGACCCCAGACCATTCAGAGTATGGATCATTAACCACTACTCTCTGAATACGATCTTTTAGCCAGTTTTCTATCCATTTACATACAGATTTGTCCAAGCCCAAGACTTTACCTTACACATTAGCCGTGTGTGGGGAATTGTGTCAAATGCTTTTGAAAAATCCAAAGTATACCACGTCCACCGCCACCCCCCTCTGTCCAAATCAGATTTGTTTGACAACTTCTGTCTTTCATGAACCCATTCTGTCTGTTGCTTAAAATATTTTTTTCCAGCAAGAACTCATCTATGTGGTCTTTTATTAAACTCTCCAGTATCTTCCCAACTATAGAAGTTAAAAACTAACAGGTCTATAACTACTTGGTAAAGATTTTGACCCCTTTTTAAATATTGGCACCACATTGGCCTTACGCCAATCCAGTTGTACTATGCCAGTCATTAAAGAGTTCCAAAAAATTAGAAACAATGGCTTTGAAATGACAGAGCTCAATTCTCTAAGGACCCGTGGGTGTGTGCCATCTGGCCCAGGTGCTTTATTCACCTTTTTATACTGTCTAAATATTTTGTATCATATCAATTGTGAGCCAATGTGTATGATCTGGAGCTCTGTCAATACCATGCCCATAATGGACAAGAGCTCCCCCATACTCCTTTGTATACACAGAGCTGAAGAAGGTATTAAATAAGTTTGCCTTCTCTTTGCCCCCAGTCACCCACTCTAGATTATTTTGTACAGGGCCTACATGCTTGGACCTGACCTTTTTACTATTAATATATTTGAAGAATTTTTGGGGGTTGGCCCTGCTATCTTTTGCAATCTGTCGTTCGTTTTCAGTTTTTGCGGTCTTTATTTCCTGTTTGCATATTCTGTTATATTCTTTGTAATGTTTAAACAATGATGGCATTCCTTCATTTTTATATTGAATACAAGCTCTTTTCTTATTTTCTATAGCCTTTTTAACTTTGGCCGTAAGCCACACAGGGTTGATTTTTAGCCTTTTAAACTTGTTGCCTATGGGAATATATTTTGCAGTGTGTTCACATACAATATTTTTGAAGAACTCCCATTACTGTGTTGTGTTCATCAATGCCAATATTCCCTCCCAGTCTAAGTCTTGGAGAGCAGCTCTCAGCCTTGGAAAATTAGCTCTCTTGAAATTGAGCGTTATATTTTTCCCGTATGTGCTTGCTGTTTACAGCTAACAATAAATGAAATCATGTTATGGTCACTGCTACCCAGATGTTTTTATATGGACAATCATAATAAGCTCTGCATGGTTTGAGATCACCGGGTCCAGCAGAGCATCATTCCTAGTAGGGGCCTCTATAAACTGTATCATAAAATGGTCCTGTAGTACGTTTAAAAATTTTTTGCCCTTTAACGGTTTCTGCAATACCATTACTCCAGTCAATTTCTGGGTAGTTAAAATCCCCCATTATTATCACTGTCCCAGCCCTTGCAGCCCTTTCGATCTGTGCAAGGAGCTGAGTCTCCACCTCCTCATTAACACTGGGAGGCTTATAAGAAACTCCAATGATTACCTTTTGTAGTACTCACCCCCATGTGCAGTTCCACCCATAATACTTCAGCCTCATCACACTCTCCATCAACTAGGTCCTCTTTCACACTCTCTGAGATCACTTCTCACATAGAGACAGACACCACCACCTTTCCTATTTACTCTGTCTCTCCAAAAGAGAACATAGCCAGGAATATTAATGGCCCAGTCATGTGAAGAATGAAGCCAAGATTCAGCAATACCAATTAAATCATAGCTCTCTTCATGCAACAAAGCTTCCAACTCACCTATTTTGCTTGGCAGACTTCTGGCATTGGTGAGCAAACACTTTAATTGATTGACACCTTGTTCACACATATTTTTTGCATATTTTTTAGTTTCATACAAATGGTACCAATTCCACAGGTTGTAACATGGGAACCTTCTTATCTGCCATAGCCTTCCCCCCCATCTTTCCCCATTCCACCCACCAATAAGTACTGTCCCCTGTCTGATCTGTCTACCCCGTTATAATCTAATTCTCCCTCCCCCCTCGATCCTAGTTTAAATACTCCTCCAGCTTTCCCATAAACCTCTCCCCCAGCACAGCAGACCCCCTTCCATTTAGGTGCAGACCATCTCTAGCATATAGGTTCCACCCCACTGAAAAGTTAGCCCAGTGCTCTAGAAACCCAAATCCTTCCCTCTTACACCGGGTCTTCAGCCATGCATTGAGTTCTCTAATCTCCCCGTCTTTCCTGAGTTGCGCATGGCACTGGTAATATTTCAGAGAATATCACCTTGGAGGTCCTTCCCTTCAACTTGCAGCCTAGTTCTTTAAATGGATTCTTAAGGAGCCTCCACCTTCCATGTATTCTGTCATTGGTTCCAACATGAATCAAGACAGCTGGGTCATGCTCAGCCCCTCCCAGTAATTTATCAACCTGGTCCACCACATGCCGAACCCTGGCACCAGGGAGACGGCAAACCATTCGGTTGAGGCGATCCTGGCGACAATAATAATATATGATCACTCGGCAAAAACTACCCTAACAAAATATAATTCCCACTACAATCACCCCTGAAGAAAAGTAACACTTTCACCCTTTAAAGCAAATGATAATAATAAACCTTTTCTTTCACTAATACTCAATCCTGGTGACAAATTATTCTATCAGTCCTTCTGATCATAGAATCCCCTACTATCACCAGCTGTCTAGGCCTTCCTGCACTACCCTCACCACCCCTCCCAGAAGGTCTGCTCTCCCGGCTGTTAGGGATAGCAGTGACATCAAGGGCTGCCACCCCTGAGCTTGCCACCCCCACATCTTCACCCAGCTTGGCAAATCTGTTTGGGTGCTCAACCCCAGGGCCAGCCTTCCTTTCTGTGAGCCCCTTCCACTCCCTCTCGTTACAGTAACAATATGACTAAATGCATTTGGTTGCTGCCATGTGAATGGCTGATTAGCAATTTGTGTTTACCAAGCAATTGAACAGGTGTACCTAATAAAGTGGCCAGTGAGTGTATCTTACATTGTAAAATTAAGTTCTGTAGGCAATAAAACTAAATTACTTTCAACAGACTGTTCAGAGTTAATGTCACTGCCAGAAATGTGTTTTATTTTTCAAAGCTTACAGAGCTGTCAGAACATGACACTGTATCAGATTCATGGGGTGAGAAGGAGGTGGCTGACATTCATGTCTATGGTGAAGAGTGAGAGAGTGAGAGGACTGAGTCACATAAGGGGCAGCCAGAATGTTTGAATAGTTTGGGTTTAGGCTACATGCATTTTATCAATTTTCATTCTGCTTCTCCTAGAGGCTACTTTAGCAAATTACACTATACTGTTCGGTATTAAAGTTCAAAAGATCCCTGTATAATCAGTTTTTTATGCTTGGTGATGTTCTGACATTAATTTTCAGATACTTTGCCAAGCAGTGTATTAAGCATGTCGCAAACCTACACACTTTTAGTCAGACTTGCCTGTGCCAGGAGCATTAAGGATAGAGTCGCAGGGGCAGGGTTACTAGACATGCAACAAACGCCGCACAAAGCCAAAGACGTCCAAATGGACAACCGCGGTTTATTTGATCTAAAAATGTTAAGTTGTTTTGGATAGTTTTAACATCAGCACATTGGCATTAGGTCACCTAAATATTTCTTAAATGTGTGCAATTACAGGTAATCAGGATGAGTTCGTGTGCTGACATCTGTGGGTCCAAGCAGTCACAAAGCACTCCTGAAGGAGGATACCATCGCTATGGAGTTCGGTCCTACCTGCACCAATTTTATGAGGACTGTACAGCTTCAATATGGGAATATGATGATGATTTTCAGATACAGAGATCGCCCAGTAGGTGGAACTCTATATTCTGGAAGGTAAGGAAGCTATTTCTGATCCAAATAAAACTTGCAGTGCCGCTCTAAGCTGAGACAGATCTCCCCGTAGGTTGCAGTGGAGGGTGCTGGTGTCAGTGCATCATTCAGAGGTGTAAGCGCATTATCAAAGAGAAGAAAAGGCGCCACTCACCAACCCAGTGCATTAGTATTTAGATGAATGAGGCATCAGACAGCACCTCTCCAGCCACGCCACCTGACGTGTTTCACCCCACCCATTGGGGCATGACCACCTCTGTAACCAAGCCCCGATAGGCGAGACAAAACATGCCAGGGGGCATGGCTGGAGCAGGGCTGGCTGAGGCCACATTTGTCTACATACTAATTCACTGGGTTGGGGAGCGGCACCTTTTCTTCTTTGATAAAACTATTTCTGATGTTTTACTTTTACTGTGTTGTATAACACAGGTGAGGTGTGACAGTCTGTGAAACCTTTCTTGTTCCATTTACATAATCCAACTCCTATGGTGCCATAAGGCCTGGGAGAGGTGCTAGTTATTTGACAATTCACACCTTCAGCCATGTAATGCAAATTGCTGGGGCAGAGTCATTGGTTCAGGTGTATGGATAATGCATGAGTCAAGATAAAAGCCTCTTAAGTGTAAGCCTTTTATTGAACACACAGAGCCAGTTCTTAAAAACATCACATTTATGTTGGATGTTGCATAAAATAACAAATTTTGGACTGGGGCCATCAAACAGAGGGGAGAAGCAAAACACACAGAACAATATAGTTCTCTTTTATGAGATTGGGGTCTCAAATTTTTTAACCACTTGCCTACCAGGCACTTTTACCCCCTTCAACCCAGGCCAATTTTCACCTTTTAATGCTTTTGCACTTTAAATGACAATTGCGTGGTCATGCAACACTGTACTCATGACATTTTTATCATTTTTTTCACATAAATAGAAGTTTCTTTTGGCGGTATTTAATCACCACTGGATTTGTTATTTTTTGCACTATAAAAAAAAAAAGACCAAACATTTTTTTTTTAAAATGTGTTTTTTCTTCGTTTCTGTTATAACATTTTTGCAAATAAATGATCTTTCTACACAAATTTAGGGCAAAATGCACTCTACTACACGTCTTTGGTGAAAATAACCCAAATAGTTATTATTTAGTTGGTAGGAAAGTTATAGAGTTGACAAGCTATGGTGTGTGTATGTATATATGTATGTATATGTGTGTGTGTATATGTATATGTGTGTGTATATATATGTGTGTGTGTGTGTGTATATATATATGTGTGTGTGTGTGTGTGTGTGTGTGTGTGTATGTATGTATATATGTATGTATATATATGTGTGTGTGTGTATATATATATATATATATATATATATATATATATATATATATAATATATATATATATATATATATATATATATATATATATATATATATATATATATATACACACAGTTGCAAGAAAAAGTATGTGAACCCCTTGGGATTACGTGGAGTTTTGCATGAATTGGGCATAAAATGTGCTCTGAATGTCATCTAAGTCACAACAATAGAAGAACACAGTCTGCTGAACATAATACAACACAAACATTAGATGTTGCCATGGTTTAATTGCACATAACATGTAAACATTCACAGTGCAGGGAGGAAAAAGTATGTGAGTCCCTAGCTTAATGAGTTCTCCAGAGCTAATTGGAGCCAGGAGTGAGCCAACCTTGACTCCAATCAGTGTGATGATATTGGATGTGTTGCTGACAGCTGTCCTGCCCTTAAAAAACACACACCTGTTTTGGGTTTACTGGTTTCAAGAAGCACTGTCTGATGTGAACCATGCCTCGCAGAAAAGAGCTCTCAGAAGACCTACGATCAAGAATTGTTGACTTGCATGAAGCTGGAAAGGGTTACAAAAGTATCTCCAAAAGCCTTGATGTTCATGTGTCCATGGTAAGACAGACTGTCTACAAATGGAGAAAGTTTAGCACTGCTGCTACTCTCCCTAGGCGTGGTCGTCCTGTAAAAATGACTACAAGAGCACAACTCAGAATGCTGCACGAGGTAAAGAAGAATCCCAGAGTGTCAGCTAAAGACCTACAGAAATCTCTGGCACATGCTAACATTTTTGTTGACACATCTACAATAAGGAAAACATTAAACAAGAATGGAGTACATGGGAGGACACCACGGAGGAAGCCATTGCTGTCCAAAAAGAATATTGCAGCATGTTTGAAGTTTGCAAAAGAGCACCTGGATGTTCCACAGCACTACTGGCAAAATATACTGTGGACAAATGACACCAAGATTGAGTTGTTTGGGAAGAACACACAACACTATGTGTGGAGAAAAAAAGGCACAGCACACCAACATCAAAACCTCATCCCCACTGTGAAACATGGCGGAGGGAGCATCATGGTTTGGGGCTGCTTTGTTGCCTCAGGGCCTGGACGGATTGTTGTCATTGATGGGAAAATGAATTCCAGAGTTTATGAAGACATTTTGCAGGAAAACGTACGACCATCTGTCCGCCAACTGAAGCTCCGCAGAGGATGGGTGATGCAACAGGACAATGACCCAAAGCATACAAGTCATTCAATAAAACAATGGCTGCAACAGCACAGAAAGCGCCTTCTGGAGTGGCCCAGTCAGAGTCCTGACCTCAACCCCATTGAAATGCTGTGGCATGACCATAAGAGAGCGATTCACACCAGACATCCCAAGAATATTGCTACACTGAAACAGTTTTGTGAAGAGGAGTGGTCCAAAATGACTCCAGATCGTTGTGCAGGTCTGATCTGCAACTACAGGAAACGTTTGGTTGAGGTTATTGCTGCCAAAGGAGGGTCAACCAGTTATTAAGTCCAAAGGTTCACATACTTTTTCCTCCCTGCACTGTGAATGTTTACATGTTATGTGCAATTAAACCATGGGAACATCTAATGTTTGTGTAGTATTATGTTCAGCAGACTGTGTTCTTCTATTGTTGTGACTTGGATGACGTTCAGAGCACATTTTATGCCCAATTCATGCAAAACTCCACGTAATCCCAAGGGGTTCACATACTTTTTCTTGCAACTGTAATGTGTGTGTGTGTGTGTGTGTATATATATATGTATATGTATATATATATATATATATATATATATATATATATATATATATATAAAAATGGATACATCCTAATGTCCTGACTACTGATTTCATTTCTTGAGGCCCAAAAACTCCAGGACAGTACAAATACCCCAAAAATGACCGCTTTTCGGATGTAGAAAGTCTGAGGAATTTAGTAAGAGGCATGGAGAGTTTTTTGAAGTTGTAATTTTTTGTCATAATTTTGTGGAAAATGAAGAAATGAAAAAAAATGTTTTCACAAATTTCTTTTAATTTTTTTTTTTTTTTTACATACTGTCGCCAATGTAGTACAGCGTCATCATATAACTATTTTACAGATTGCGCCACAGAGAAAAAATATTTTTTTTTGTACAGAGTATAAAATTGGAACAATATATACTCCTGGCCGCTGCTATTCCTGATGTAACAATCATCAATCAAAGCTGGCAAATAATGGAAAAGCGCTGACCTACTCTAAAATAGTGACTTAAAAAATGTGCAATCCGATCAATACCCAAAACTCCCTATAAGTTAACACTCATTAATGTAAAATTGCAAAGTGTACTACAATTATCTCCACTATTCAATATTGTGAAAAACAAAACCTTAATACCATCTACCAACCCCCATTCTACCATATACACTGCTCAAAATAATTAAAGGAACACTTTTTAATCAGAGTATAGCATCAAGTCAATTACACTCCTGGGATATTGATCTGGTCAGTTAAGTAGCAGAGGGGGTTGTTGCCAGAAGGTTTGCTGTTTCTCCCAGCACAGTCTCAAGAGCATGGAAGAGATTCCAGGAGACAGGCAGTTACTCTAGGAGAGATGGACAGGGCCGTAGAAGGTCCTTAACCCATCAGCAGGACCAGTATGTGCTCCTTTGTGGACAAAAAGGGTGAGCACTGCCAGAGCCCTACAAAATGACCTACAGCAGGCCACTTGTGTGACTGTCTCTGACCAAACAATCAGAAGCAGACTTCATAAAGGAGGCCTGAGGGCCCGACGCCCTCTAGTGGGCCCTGTGCTCACTGCCTAGCATCATAGAACTCGATTGGCATTAGCCATTGAACACCAGAATTGGCAGGTCTGCCACTGGCGTCCTGTGCATTTCACAGATGAGAGCATGTTCACCCTGAGCACATGTGACAGATGTGAAAGGGTCTGGAGAAGCCGTGGAGAACATTATGCTGCCTGTAACATCGTTCAGCATGACCATTTCGGTGGTGGGTCAGTGATGGTCTGGGGAGGCATATCCATGGAGGGACACACAGACCTCTACAGGATAGACAATGGCACCCTGACTGCCAATTAGGTATCTGGTTGAAATCCTTAGACCCATTGTCAGACCCTGCACTGGTGCAGTGGGTCCTGGGTTCCTCCTGGTGCACGACAATGCCCAGCCTCATGTGGCGAGAGTATGCAGGCAGTTCCTGGAGGACAAAGGAATTGATACCATTGAATGGCCCCCACACTCTCCTGACCTAAATCCAATAGAACACTTCTGGGATATCGTGTTTTGGTCTATCCGACGCCGCCAGGTTGCACCACTGTCTAGGAGCTCAGTGATGCCCTGGTCCGGATCTGGAAGGAAATACCCAGGGACACCATTAGTCATCACATTAGGAGCCTGCCCCAATTATTGTCAGGGATGCATAAAAGCACGTGGGGGCCATTCAAACTGAGTACCATTTTGAGTTGCTACATTGAAATTTCAGCAAAATGGACTAGCCTGCTGCATCAATTTTTCACTTTGATTTTCGAGGTGTCTTTGAATTAAGTCTTCTGTAGGTTGATCATTTTCATTTCCATTAAACAATGGGGCATCCTTACATTCCTAACACATTACTCAGTCCATATCAATATAGATATCCGGCATGATATTTTTCCCCATTGAGATCTGATATGTTTTCAAAGTGTTCCTTTAATTTTTTTTGAGCAGTTTATAAATGAGCGTGCAATTGCGATGAAAGTGCTACATAACATATACATATATGCCAAATTATCAATGTCATATAACATCCTTTTACATTGTACAAATGATGTCCAAGTAAAGTGCAAAATAATCTGGAATTCTATAATTAGCAGTCCAGTGCAAAATAAACTTCTTAGAGATTCTTCACACCACCAAACTGTGCTGTTCCACCACCAAATGAATTGAATAAACTCACAAGAGGAGCAATGTGCTAGTCAAATCATAAACCAGCTAAAACGCATGTTGCTCTAGGAGTAACACTCTGCACTGCAGTGATCCTGTTATCTCATACTTCTCCGGATAATATTATCTCTCATTAACTCAAGAGGAAAGAAAGAGAGGAGCTTCCATAGCATAAAACTATCAACTACTTTATTAAATAAAAGCATGTAGAAAAACTCACATTTGCAAGTGTCCTCACTGGCACAAGTATAAAAGCATAGGTGTGTATTGGGTTGTGTCCGGCCAAGACCTCAAGACCAACCTCCGTGCGTGGTGACATCAGCTCCAAAGTCCCGCCATACGCGTTTCGTCATTTGATGTGCTCTGGGACACTATTTGCACTTTATTTGCACAATGTAAAGGGATGTTATATGACCGATAATTTGGAATAGTTGTATATGTTGTGCAGCACTTTCATTGCAATTGCACTTTCATTTATATATGGTAGAATTGGGGTTGGTAGATTGTACTAAGGTTTTGTTTTGCACAATATTGAATAGTGGAGATAATTGTAGTGCACTTTGTACTTTACATTAATGAGTATTTATAGGTAGTTTTGGAGTAGATCAGAGTCAGAGGGAGAGTATTGATCGGATTGCACATTTTTTTAGTCACCATCTTAGAGTAGGTCAGTGCTGTTTCATTATTTGCCAACAGCATCATCATATAACTGCCATGTCGGTGATGGGACACTGACTGGTGACAGTAAGTTAAAAAAAAAAAATTTTTTTTTTAACCATTATTTTTTTTTTTTTTAACCATTTTTTTTTTTACCTACTCCTGTGACCAGAGCAATACGATACAATACAAATGAAAGGGTAAAACAAATCTTAAAGCCTAAGTAAAGTTTTACAACTTTGACATGTGTTAGTAAGACCGTAGATATCATCACATCCACGTGAATTACACCTTGATCTTTTCAGAATAATAATAAAACAAATATATATTTTTTCTTGTTACTATCATAACCTACCACCAAACAACAACCCAAAATAAATTTTCCAGCTTTTGACAATCGCATTGATACCATATATGTGTATGTTATTTGTTGTTTGTACCTGTAGCACAGCCCAGAAACAATAGTGCACATTTTGTTTTTGGGTATTTTTACCTAAAACACAGACACTGATACCAATTAAAAACAAAATACCTGACCTTTGACCCTGACTTTCACCCCAAACACCTTGGGCACTGAACTAGATCAAACCTTTTAAAAAAAAACACATTTTCTTTTTTTCTGTTATAAAATTTATCAAATAACATTTCTTTATAAATTTAGGTCTAAATGTATTCTGCTACATTTCTTTGGTGAAAATACCCCAAATGAGTGTATATTATTTAGTCTGTAGGAATGTTATAGAGTCAACAAACCAAGGTATACAGTATATATATCTGAAAATTGATCAATCCTGATGTGCTGACGGTCCATATCATTTCTTGAGGCCCAAAAAACGCCAGGATAGTACAAATACCCCCCCCAAATCACCAATTTTTGGGAAATAGACAGTTGAAGGTATTTAGTAAGAGGCATGGTGAGTTTTTTGAAAGTTGTAATTTTTTGTTGCAATCTTTTGGAAAATGTAGAAATTAAAAAAAAAAAATCACTAGTTATTTATTTATTTTTTACATATTGTCACCAGTCCAGTACAGTGTTATTATATAACTGGTGTGGCGATGATCAGAGATACTGACTTGTTTACAGTATGTAAAAAAATGATAATAATTTAATGTGTATTTTTTTTTTTTTCAAGATTTTCAATTTTTTTTATTACATTATTTTTTTTTTTTTAATATTTTTTTTTTTTCAACACACTGTGACAAAAGCAATACAATGTTACCATAGTAACATTGAACTACTCTGGGCAAGTGATCAGGATTTTTTTTAAACACATTATGATTGCTAATGCCAATGTATTTCATTGATATTTGCAATCATTGTTGCTGAATTAAACTGATTTATTCAGTCTTTTGTTGTGACTAGTGATTGGGCAAAGTTCATCACAAGATACAGATGGGCTGTGATTGGCCATCTGTATTATGTGACTGCCTTGACCAGTCACAGCTAACATAATTGTATACAATGGATGGCATGACAGGATGCCATCCACTGTATTCCTTTGACATGTGATCTAATGTGATTGGTCACATGACACTGGCAATGGGCCGGTGTAGTGATATGTCATCAGCTGTGTCCCATAAACGTAGCCGGTAACAGATCGCGCCACTGCGCGGCCCCCCCAGCCATGTGAGCTGCTCATTTTGACAGGACATATGACGCCCAGTCACAATGAGGAGTGTCCCACCTGACCATCAATCTGCTATAGGCCGGGCGGGAAGGTGTTAAAATACTACAGGAAATCTTCAAACGGCACCTTCACTTGCATATTTGTGAATGTTGTTAATAGGTCTTTTATACGAAGCAACTTTAAAATGGAACTAAAACCCTCTGATTGTTTTCAGCCTAAAGAAGCCATTTTTAGCCTCTGTTTGATCTTCAGCTGCAATGATGCTGCACATGTGATCAGTTAAGACACCAGATATTTGATGGTGTTTGGTTGAGAGCACAAGCAAATGTGACCATTACATTTACGACACATAACTGTAACACGTAGCTGTTTTTTGAAATGGGTAAATTTGATTGGTTTAGTCTTTACACAACTTGCAAATTCAAATGACTTGTAATAATGAACTAACCTTTCGTACTTTTCTTGTAGGTCGGACTCATATCGGGCATTGTCCTCATGCTGACAGGTATAACAGTTCTTGCAGTTGGGTTTCTGGTGCCACCTAAAATCGAAGCCTTTGGAGAAGATGATTTTGTTGTTGTGGACAGTCATGCTGTCCAGTTCAATGGAGCACTTGATGTTTGTAAATTGTCAGGTGCCGTTATGTTTTGTATTGGAGGAACAGCACTGGCAGCATGTCTTCTGATGTCTGCTTTTGCTAAAAGTTACTCCAAAGAGGAGAAGTACCTGCAACAAAAATTTAAGGAGAGAATAGCAGACCTTAGGGCACATGTGCACCCTGTTACAAAGGCTCCAGCTCCAGGAGACTCGAAGATACCTGTCACTCTGTCCAAAGTCCAAAATGTCCAACCTTCATCTGAAACCTGACAATTTACCTGTCGTTGTAAACACCATTAAAATGAAAAGGTCAGCTTTTGTGTTACAGTAAAAAGTCTTATTTTGCTGTACAGTTAAACTGTACTTGGTGGGAAACTATATGAAAAGGTCAAATGATAGCAAAATGTGAAAAGATCCTGAGTTCCTGTGTGTCAATGTGGGAAGCTTACCTACTTGAATGGTAAACCTTCTGAAGAGTACACGTTAAGTCAGTAGGCCCCATCAGTAGTCCAATGTTACAACAGAAACATACTGCTTGTTTGTGTTTTTCTTTACTGTCGCTTACTATGTAAACACATTAGGTGCACAATTAGTACCAGCTATATAGAAAAAGAACACATTTCTGTAATTTAACAGATTGAGGAAGGATGCTGAAGACTAAAAATACACTTCACTTACACAGATTACATTCTTTTCTGAATCAACTAGCAAAGTTAATTTCATTTCCCTTTTTTGGCTACTTTATGTGTTTTTCCAGTTTATTGTGTGGTTTACTTTTTTCTTTAAATAAATTGTCTAGGTTATTTTTTTTTTTTTTTTTTACCATTCTCTTCAAGGCTCTATCACTTCCATACCACCACATATCTCTTGACTCTCAGATGACAGTATGTGGCACGTTAATTCTTTCCTCGTGTTTACTCGAATTCCACCTTTAGTTGGACTAGATGTTTGGATATATCATAGGTAGAATTACCCGGTGTTTTACTAGCCTGACCTTGTAAAGGCCTTGTTGCCAATATTATCAATAGGAAAGTGATCATTTTTTCCAGAAAAGGCGAAAGCCTTAATCACATGACAATCCCAAAAAAGACTAACTGTTTGAAACTACGCTACAACTGTCAGCAATTAACATAACAAATAGAAGTGAAACTTAAGAGATTCTGTCACCAGACTTATTATTTAAACAACAATCTTCCTTAAAGATTACCTGTGTATTTAAGATATATTATGCAAGTTATTTACCTGCAATAACCTCCCTTCTGTAGACATCCAAAAGCCCTGTGACTTCTGCTGGGCCCCACCATCTTGGATGTCATGTCAGCAGCCCAGCAGACTCAGAGTTGTCACTCAAGTTGCATTTTATAGTATTCCTCTTAGCTCTTCCCTTGGCAGCTACATAAAAGGTTATATAGAAAGAAGAGGGACAGAGTTGCTTAACCTACACAGAGAGTAATTAGACACTCTCAGAGGAGGAGGGGGCTGTGACTTGGCAGGAAGAAGGTGGAACTGTGGCAGTGCTAGGGAATTGACTCTTCACTGAGTGAGAAAATTCGCTAGCAAGTTCAAAGGCACATTGCGCAATAAAAAATACAAATTCTGGAAACCAAAAATGGTGCAAGTAAGAATTTAAAACTCTTGATTTTCCTGTGCTATTACCTGGATTTATTATAAGTTGGTGACAGGATCTCTTTAATTTCTTCACCACTTGATGAGAAGACCCGTAGGGAATACTGGCTTTTGCACTAGAAGATGCTATAAATGGATCAATATAAACAAATTTTGGCTTGTTTGTACCAAAACCAAGTCCTATTTAGCATTAGCCACATTAATCCTATGACAGGTTTTGCTACAGTTTCCATGTTAAAGCCCAACTGAAGTCTCACACCTTATTTGCCCTTTGTAGATTGTATCCCCAGCATGCTATACATACCTGCTTTGTGAAATTGTATTACACAGAGTGGCCCATGCTTCTGGGGTCCCACACCAGTTCTCCAGGCTCCTTCTCTCCTCTGTGTGCCCCCACAGGAAGGCACTTCCTATGGTGACGCAGCAGTGGGCTCACTCCCAAGGTGGGCTGTGTGCATCTATAGACACACACAGCTCCCCCCCAACCCCTCCTCACAGCATTTTATTGACAGCAGCAGGAGCCAGTGATTCCCTCTGCTGTCTCTGAGCCTTTGAGAGGTGGAGAGAGAACCAATGTTGCTGCAGACGGGCACAATGCTGGAATGATACAGGATGAGCATTTCGGCAGGGGGGTGGGGGGGGAACAACTAGTGGAAGGTTTTTTACATTAATGCAGGTAATGCATTAAGGTAAGAAAAAAAATGTTTGTCTTTAAATACCTTTTAAAAAAAAAAAACTTTTTTGGAAATACCTTGAAATATACCTAATGGTAATGGACTTCCTGCCATCCCACATCTGTGCTCTATGCTGGCATAGGTGAGTGTCATCTACCCTCATTAAAAGCATCATCACAAAGAACTGAAGAGAGAGGGTGGATCTGACCATGTCTATTTGATTACTGAATGCACCAAATCAGATGTTAGTGCTTGTTAGACTACACAGCCATTCTTTGACACTATGACAGTAGAAAACGTTCTGTCTCTCTAACTTTGTTTCCATCTCTGAGACTTCAGTTGGGCTTTTAATATATTTTTCTGCCACTAGTAGGACAATGTAAGCTTACATGATGTTGTCAGACCAATAATTCTGGGTCATTTTTTCCAGTGTGGATAGAGATTAACATAGGTCTCTAGTTGGTGGAGCCTATAGGCTACAATTATGGAAAGCTAAAACCTGAATTCATTAGTGCATATTAATGTAAACACCCATTTATTCATGTAAACAAGTATTATGCATACAGGCTATCTGTAAATGTCAGCCTTCATTTTACCCCTAGGGTATAATATAGTCAACAAGAGAAGGATAAGGCTTTGACTGAGAGCATCATTAAAAGTGAGATTTTTATTCAATAGACTCTCCCTAATGTGTTCTATTTTATTTCATCAGGATTATAGGCACCACTCCTGCTTGGTTTAAGTCTAGTATTCATTATGGAACAATCATTTTAGAGGATATAAGAACTCTCAGGGACTTTTATGAAGATACTTTAGTAACAGTTCTGATGTACTCAAGAGATCACAGCTCACCATTACAAAAATAGGTAAAAATTACAATTTAATAAAACATGGTTGCAGAGTAAATATTACTGGAAGTAATACATACTGTATAGTACTGTATCCTGAATTCTGTTAATCCTTTCCAGTTTCATAATTTGCAGTGCTTTTGCCTCAGTTGCTGCCTCAGCTAATCTAACTGTAATAGTTGCTTACACTCTTGCGTTTATCGTTAAAATCTAGGCAGCTGTTATACTCTTGACTGTGCAGCCATCTGCGAAAAGTAACATTTTCAGCACTTTGCCCTGTGACTCTAGTCGATGTATGAGTGCTGAAAAAGAAAGCATCAAAAATAGCTAATGTACTGTTAATGTCTCCATTCTGAACATTGCTTTCAAGTCACTTTCAAAGCAATTCAGCATTACTTGGATGAAAAAAAATCCTTTTTCGTTCTGCTTATGGTTTCTGCAAGGGCAAAACGACCTTGCATATCTTTTTTAATACCCTATCTTTTTACTCTCAAATAACTCAAATAAATAAATGATCCAAGTTTTTCAATTTGTATATATCTGAATGTCACCAGTTAATCTAATTAAACTAGTAGCTGTAAAGTTACATTTTTACTTTTACATAGATTTTGATTGTTGAACTACCAAAGTATGTTCTAATATGTTTGCACTTTGCACATTCACAGGTTTTATTTTTGATATATAGGGAGACTGCATCCAAACTTAAAAAACACTGTTTTGAGTTCAGCATCCTGAACTGAATTTAAACCTTAATGATGATTCACTATTTTATCGGCAGCACAGCACAATCACACATTCTCCTTCTTTGAGTCACTGCATATGTACCTTTTGTTCTGGGAGCACACAAGAGCCACAAGAGCTAATAAATTGTATAGTACTGGATACAAAATAGTCTTGGAACCCATATAGAGGTTGAATAAGGAACAATTTTAAGGCAATATATATAAATACATAAAACAGACAAAAACCTTTTAAATGGGTTTGATTGGATATACAAGCACAGGTTCACTGGGCTGAAATTAAAATAACTTCCTTAATCAGCCCCCCCGGGATTTAATTTCAAAGTTGAACATTTCTAGGCCAAGTCTAAGTTCTTATTTCATATTTATGCATGCACTGCTTATATAAAAGGTCGCTCTGTATTGAAGAAATATTGCAGCTATAAGTAGAAGCTTGTGTGTTGACTTTTAAGTAGCTGTAAATTCAAAATGAATTACATTTTTTTTTTTTTTTTTGCTAAAGCACTGTGTCTCTGTAACAAATTTAGTGTTATTTTTGCTTAAAAACTATTGTTTTCATTTTTCTATCCTTTTTTGCATCTCAGTGCTGCTGATCTTCACCAGCTTTCTTTACTGCCATGTCCTAACTACACCTGTAGTCCCTCGTCCCCTCCCTAAGTGTATGTGGCAGGGTGGCAACACAGGAGAGCAAATGGGAGGCAGTGACAAAGCGTTGTTATCCTATAACACAAAGTGCCTGAACAAGGACTTTCATGGCAGGATTACCAGGTATTATTTTAATAACCTGTAGATTTAAAAAAAAATTAAAAAATGACCTTTGAAATTTGTTAATAATTACATGAGATCTTAGGGAATGGTTTACATCTACCTTAAGGATTCTGGAAGAGAAATTCCTCTCTACCATAGTTCCCATCTTAAAATGTTCCTCCTACAGTAACAGATCTTCATAACTAATATAAAATTATTTAAAAATCCATTAATGTTAGTGAACTTCTATAATAACTACCATGAAAAGTGTGTAGAATTAAAAAAAAAAAAAATCCAATCACTGGAATCGCTGAAAAACACAGTATGTAACTCTCCAGCATTTGGTTGAACTGACCGTTTGACAGGGTTATTGTTTTCCACAAAGCAGAGCTATGATATGCTGCCATTTATAATTAAAGCTTATATAGGATATATAGTATGCCATTGTGAAAATACTTCTATTCATGACATACTACAGCAACATTCTATTACCTTACACACAGGCATTTCCATATGTAGTCATTGTGCTCTTGACCGGTTATAGTGTTTATTTTCTTAAAAGTAGTATAGTATCTATTTTTATCTAAATTTCTTCCTGTTTTGCAATACTTGCTTTGTCTTCTAATTTACATTAG